CAGGGTAGTCAGGACAGGAACTGAAACCAGGAACCTGGAGGCAGGAACTAAAGTAGAATCCATGGACAGGTGCTGCTTACTGGTTTGCTCTTCATGGCTTACTCACCCTTCTTTCTTTTAGCACCCAGGACTACCAGCCCAGGGTAGAATAACCCACAGTGGGCTGGACCCTTCCATATCAATCACCAATTAAGAAAATGTATAACAGACTTGCTGACAGGCAAATATAGTAGGGGCATCTAGCAATCTAACAAAGTCAAGTTGTAATTTCTGGAAGTGTACTGGTAGAATTTTTGGGACCTCTTATGTATAATATCCAACAGAAAGATTGTAAGAAGCAGAGATAAGGGAGGATTTGAGTAAAATTGTGTCTTCTAGGTGTGACAGGGATGCTGCATTCATATGCTCACAGAAGCTATGGTTGTCTACACAAAGCATGTACATGATCAAGCCAGTCAACATTCCACAAGAGTATCAAATAAGAGTTAGTGATCCTTGAGAGACAAATAGTCATATTTGTTTAAAAGTGTGGCCACTTTCAAGATCATGATCTACTGGATTACCTTGTGTCCATCAAACATGAGCAGCACAAATTGGGATCAGTAGGCTAAATATACAAAAAGAATATACAAATTTGGGAGTAGTTGAAGGTGGTAGACCTGAGAAGAATTAGGAGAGGTGCTGGCGATGCTGTGAATGCATTGCTCTGATTGATAAATAAGATGCTAATTGGCCAGTAGCTAGACAGGAAGTATAGTATGGACGAGATAAGCAGAGAGGAGAACTCTGGGAAGAGGAAGGCTGAGTCAGGAGTCTCCTTCTAGACACAGAGGAAGCCAGATGTAAAAGTACTGGTAAGCCACAAGCCATCTGGTAACTTATAGATGAATAGAAATGGGTTAATTTAAGATATAAGAACTAGATAACAAGAAGCCTGCCACGGCCATACAGTTTATAAGTAATATAAGTCTGTGTGTTTACTTGGGTCTGAGCAGCAGTGGCCAGAGCAGCAATGGAGAAAACTCTAACTACAGAGAGATGTGGGGGTGAATATGATCAAATTATATTATATATATGGACTTTTAAAAATAATTGAGATACATTATTTTTCAACAATGTTATTCTTTCACAATTTAATAACATATATTTTGAAAAATTTTACCTTATTTCCTTCAACAACTCCCATAATCACCCTTTGTGCCTTTCCTTCCTTATCTATACAATTTTGAGATTTATTCTTTTTTCTGGTTGCAATACAGATTGTGCTCTACAATTAGAATACAGTTTGTGTGTATTGAGAGTGGGGCCTGGCCTGGTGTGTGGTTGACCTACCAGGGGTCATGTCATTAAAGAAAGATGATTTTCCCTTTCCTAGTTACTATCAAATACTGCTATCTCCTCAGATAGTGCTGGGATTTATTGCCCACCTTCCACCATCTGAAGTGGAATTTTTATCTGGCTTGAACTTGTGCTAGTTTTGTGCATGCTGTTACAACTTCTCAGCATTCACATGTGCAACTCTTCTGTTACATTGGGAAAACTCTGTTTCTTTGATGTTACCCACCATTTTTTGCAATGTTTCCCCACTGCCTTCTTGAATGATCCCTGAAACTTTAGGAGAAGAGTTATGATATGTATGTCACAGTAAAGACTAAGTACTCCACAATCTCTTATTCTCTCCACAATCAACAGTGGGAGATCTCTGTGTTAATTTCAGTCTACTGCAAGATAAACCTTCTTTAAAGCATTTCAAAGGAAGATGCTCTGTTCTATGGTTATTGAAACAAAATATTAGAAGTTATTTTAATATTATGTCCATTCTTAACAGAATAATAGTACTGGATTCTCCTTTAAAGCCTAAGATCTATCTAGCCACAGGTTCTTGACCTTTTAAACAGAGCCAGATAGAGATCTGATCCCATGACATAGGTATTACAGCCAGTAAGAAAGCTGTTGGTTACTCCCATAACATTCCTGACACTCTTGCACTAGTGAACACATCTTGTCAGGCCAATTGTTGCAGTTTTCAGAGTTCACCACTGGGTGAAATTGGTAATTACATTTCTTCTCTGGTAGCATAAGTCATTTCAACATCATGAAAACTAGTCAGTAGAGATGAAGCTTCCAGGTGTGTACCGGATTGATTTCCTTGTGTTCTGTGACACAATACTGCTTTTTAAATGATGACCTAAAAAAAAAACCAAATTCTTGTATTTAACAGCATATTCAGAGTCCCACATGTTTGATAATTGTAGAGTTTGACAAGTCTATAATTTATAGGATGAGCTGAAGGAGAGAACCCCAGAGAAGCACATATAATAGGATCAGAAAATATTTGGCTATAAAGTCAGAAAGAAATAATGCTAGAAATGAAGTCTGTAGGGAAATCTGGATGAAGACAATAGCTTGTTTCAGTCTCCTTGCTTCAGTTTGGGTTTAACCTTGAACAAGTTACTTAACTTCTCCAAACCCTAGTTTCATCATTGTATGCAAAGTTGCTCTTGATATTCACATCTGCAAGGTTTTTTTTTCCAGATTTCTACTCTATTTGATTTCTTTTCTCCACACAGAAAATTATCACTAATTGTGTTTCCCAGTTACAATTGTGAAAGAACCAGATCAAACTCAGTGCCTGCTTTAGGAAACTTAATCACTGTACTCAGACACTACAGTCTTTTGTATAAATTCTAGTGATTTCACAAAGCTTCCATACTGTAGGAAATTGCTGGGGACCATAGTACAGAACAGTAGAGTCTTAACGACACAAATCCATTTTCTTCTGAAAAACATTTTCTCTGATGGCTCAGAATCTGTACAACATCTCCTTGAGTTTCATTCTTGTGTTGGGCAACCTAACCATAAATCCTATGTTCTAGAGAGAAACATGAATCAAACCTATATCTCATCTCCAATTGTATAGGGAATAAAGTGAAGTCTACGCTTGTTCTTATTTCTACCTTGTTGTGCAATCAACAGCCTTCTAGACATACAGTATGCCTAGCTCTCTCCTGCCTTACATTCCTGATACTATTCTTCCTCCTTTTTCTTCACCTCCATCTTCAGGTTCTTAGGGCTCCCCTCTTAGAAAATGAGCCCACATTCAGTACCCAGAGATTAAGAATATATCCTGGTATATTTATTCACTTATCCCTTCCTGGTTTGTTCTCTTCAATGTTTCTGACATTGCAATGTATTCTACATGCCTTTATTTCTCTCAGTGATAAGTCCTGGAGCTCTCACTAGATACCTCACATATACCAGGTTCTTCAGGCCCCATAAAGTCTAGAATGAGAAAGTCAAATTTCTGTCTTCAAAGGCTGTGTGAGAGCAAAGTCAAAGCAGCACCAGTAATGACTCCATCTGTGTATGCTATTTCAAGATCATTGGAAATACTTCTTTTTTCAGTGTTGAAGGTTGAACCTAGAGCTTCAAACAAGGAAGGACATGTTCTAATATCAGTATCATCTTACAGGAAGGGCTTTCATGTATTCAAACATACAGTGGTATGTTCTAAAATAAAATCCTCTTAACTTAGTCAAAGTTGGGTGTATCATCCTTATACGTTGCAAGTATATACTGGGAGAAGACTTTCCCAACCCAAGTCTTTATCAGAAAATCAGCCTTTAAGGTCCTAGGATAGTACTGAGCACACAAATCATGTTCAATCAGTGCTTGATGAATACATAACATCTGTGATGCATCAATTTTTTTTCTAAGAATTAGTCATAAATATCACATTCATATGCAAATCTATATAACCAAGAATGAAAGGTGTCAATAATTGGGGAACTTTTACAAACCCTTAATTAGGTGACAGTGACTAATTCTGGGGCAACGAAGGGTAAGTATTTCCCTGTTTGGCATATGCCAACTAGTAAACACAGTGAGAGAGACAAGCCCATACACCTTTCAAGTGGAGCGAAGCATGTGATAATCATGCATGGTGGTTTGTTATCTCTCCTCTCCAACTCACTCTCATTCCCCCCTTTCTGTGTACATGAAAGTGCAGAAAAAAATACGTGAAATTACAAAACAGCACTGTTTATAATGTTCATATTTGGGCAAGAGAAGGGTAGAGTATTTCAATACAGAAAATGTGATTCTAAAAAGCTTTCAGGACAATGGACAATGACACATTTTAGACTTATTGCTTGCTCAATGAAACACTTATATTTAACATACTTGTCACAGAGTAAGGAAAATACTATGAGAATGCTTATCACACAGTAAACACAATGCTGTCAGAGCTCTAGGCAGAGTAAAAACAATTCTTTTTTTTTTTTTT